AACAGCACAAAAGGCAGTCTTATATTCATAGAGTTCATGTTTGTATATCTAAACAGAAAAATATATACAAACTAGATGCGTTCTTGTTGCTGGTGCAACAAGCAGGTCTTCCGACCGATTTTTGTTAGAATTCTATACTGCGTCATCCCATGAAATAGATTTCAGAATGTGTTTTTTTTTTTCGTTTTACGTTCATTTACAGCAGCCTCTCAACATACCTCATGATTATTACAAGTATTACTCAAAATATCTCAAAAATAGCTTTTAAAAATCGGCAAAATCTTCCATACGTGTTATAAAAGATATAAAAGTCATTTGCAACTGAAAAAAAGACATAAACAAAGAAAAATTTTTTGAAACGGCCCCAGCGGGATCCGAACCCCCGACAGTAGGACAAAGTTTGGTTCGGTCATATCTTTTCAATAGATGCACGCATCAAGATACTGAACACATATTTAGAATTCTCATAAGACACACTATAAACCCTGTAAATCCTAAAGAAAAATATTGAAAAACAAAAAAGTTGTGAAATGTGACTTTTTGAATTCACTTCCGTTTGCAACCGGAAGTGCCGACGACGAAAAATAAAGGTCATTGCCCATAACGGAGTTTGATGTTCTATCATCTCAGTGAGTTTCACTTTCATATCTTTAGCCGTTCTCAAGAAAACTGCTGGACAAAATGAAGTAAAAAAAACGAAAATCCCCAAAAATCGCGAACGGAAGTAAATTTTGAAAAAAGGAAAAACATGTCTGGAGATATTCTCATGATGCATCTTCCCTGAGAAAATCTTTGAAATTTGTCCACTCATAGCTGAGATATCGGATGTACTATGAAAATAGAATAATAATAATAATAATGATAAACAGATGGAAAACAATAAGGTCTTTCGAAGGAAGTCGGAGGACCTTAATGAGACAAAAATTCCAAAAGAATGGCAGATCCCAATTTCAAATTTGAATAACTGTTGGGTATAAAACCACAATTGACAGTACTATATTTAGAGAGTTAAACATGTATATTAAAGCAAAAATAAACATATACACAAGAGACAAAATAAAAAAAAAGAATCTAAATTTCAGATTTAACTGTTGGATATGATAGCACAATTGACAGTTAATCCATCTTTAATTAGAAATTACATGCATGAAACAGAAAAAAAAATCAAAGGAGACAAAATAACAAAAAAATTAGCAGATCCAGATTTCAAATTTGAATAACGGTTGGATATAATAGAACAATTAACAGTCCTATATTTGGAAAGTTCTTGTTTATATATCAAGATAAAAAATATGTCTAAACATAAGATGTCTGTTGAAGGAAGTTGTCTCCATTATATATTTTTTAATAACATTTGATGCAGATTACTTAATGTTAGTTATGCAGTGTTCCACTTATATTTAATCAAGTGTTGATATTCATCAAATCTTTCTCTCTATCTATTCTTGATGATCAGTAGTTTGTGGATAGGAAGCAATTTCCAGGCGTCTTTATGCAATCATGAAGAAGCTTAAGAATCAATTCCAAATATTTATGTTTTTTTTTAAATTTTTTTCAAGTCATCAAGATCAAAATTAAAATAGGTTCAACTCTGCAATTAATAAGCATTTTACAGATGATTGGAATTTTGACTTAAGTCTAAGTCTGTTTTAAAATCCTTACCTGGCGTCGGAATAACAATGCATTTAAACATGGAAACAGAATGATCTAAAAGTTGCTTTTCAATTTTGTTTGTTTCAAACTGTTTTTCAATTCTAAGGATATTTTGCAGTGAATGAAGATCAACGTGAACTTCCAGACATAATTAATCACATGAATATCGTTGGAAGTAAGAATATATCAAATCATGCCATGTTTTCAGTTAGTGTGCACAGTCTAAGCAACATAATGTCATAAGTAACTTTTTTATTTCATTTCATTTTAATATTTCTCACTTATTTTCAATCAGAATGCAATTTAAAACCTTTATGAATTCATAGGAAGTTGAAAGAGGACTGGGCCAACATTATCATCAGAAGAGTCATAAAGAGATCGGATGTCGACTAACTTTGACATTGTTTTTCATGGTAGTTACTCAAATTTTACTTTTAATTAAAATGTATATGATGAACATTGTGTTCCTTTAAGTTATTATTTGAATTTATGTATGGTAAATTTAAGCATCAGGGTAACCAAGTATTCCATACAGATAACTACAATTGATTATAGCTGACTTTTTATTATCTGTAGTATACGATTGTAAACTGGGATAAATATGAGTTAAATCTTAGCATATTTTCATTGTGGTATATTCACGTGCATCCTGTCTCATTCTAAATATAAATTGATAAATGATGATAAATTAAAGCTCATTTCTTTGTAAACTTCATATCTCTAAACAAAACAAACTTCCTTATGTGTGTGAAAAAAATCTTGATAGGGACAACATACAACCGATTCTAATAATCAAAATCCCTCCTATTCTAAACTAGCATTACGAAAACAGCATTTAGTCATGAAGAAGAAGAAGAAAGTACACCGACACATGGTTCTCCCTTTGATTCATTTATAATTGAAAAATATGGCTAAAGCTTAGCTTTTTTCATGTCATAGTAGCTGTGCTAATTACAAGATTATGCAGTATATAAGACAGACAAGATTAGTACATTAAAGCTGAATACAATTTGTAAAAGAATGGTATGGAGATAACGAAAGGTATTCAATATCAAAGTCACGGGTATTTGTTTCGTATATAAGATTTTAACCAATGGTACTAAAAATAACACAAGGTATCTACAGCACAGACCATATCCAACTTGACACAAATCAGACCCAGAACAGACCTGGGGGCTGTTTTCTGGGACTGCTAAAGTAGTCCCACAGCAATCCCAGAGCAGTCCCACAGCGGTCCCAGAGCAGTCCCACAGCAGTCCCAGAGCGGTCCCATCAGTCCCAGCAGTCCCAGTGGGCGGGGCCTATTAATTATGGGCGAAGCTAACAGAGATGAGATTTGCAATAAACAATGGAACTATAAAAGGCAGTAGAAATTGATTCTGGGTAGTATGCCAGGAATCCTTACATGTATGCGAAAGGTATTCAATATCAAAGTCACGGGTATTTGTTTCTTATATAAGATTTTAACCAAAGGTATCAATGATAACACAAGGTATCTATAGTACAGACCAGATCCAACTTGACACAAATCAGTCCCAGAGCAGTCCCACAGCAGTCCCAGAGCGGTCTTATCAGTCCCAGCGGTCCCAGAGAGCAGTCCCAGGAATCCCAGAACGAAGTCCTAGCAGGTGCTTATTGATTTGATTGGCGGAGCTTACTCAGAGATAAGATTTGCAATAAACTATGGAACTATAAAAGGCAGTAGAAATTGATTCTGGGTAGTATGCCAGGAATCCTTACATGTATGCGAAGGTCATTTATGAACAGTACGCACATAGAAACAAATTGAATTAATATTTATTGAAGGAAGAAGGCTTTCACACGTACATGTATGAATTAAACTGAACATGAACATTTAATCAGAGTTATCGGGTATATTAATAATTCAATTTCTTTATTTTCTGTAATTGATTCTGTTTCCCATATTTATTTTTTATACAGAAGATTAAATGTGAATTAATTATTTTCCATCAGTAAGAATTAGCTTTAAATAGATTTCATCGTTATATGGCCAATTTCCGTACTATCGGGATACTCAAAAGGAATTTTATAGGCTTTTAAAAGAAATTGTTAATTTTGCCAAGTATTATTTAGCAGTCATGATTATTTCACTGACATGTCAATTTAATTATTGTTAATTTCTCTATTTCTACAATACTCAATCTTAAGTGTTTTATTTGTAAATGTTAGAATGTAAATCTGTAAATCACCAGATTGGAACCCTCAGATTATGTTCAAAGTTAATTTATCCTGACAGAAATTCATACACATTTCATTTATCAATTTTATTTTTGCATTACATACCGGAAATTAGGGTCATTGTTGACCAGCATGTTCAATGATATGAAACGCTGATACGTATACCTAAATAACATGCAATGATTTTCTGCCCTAAGGCGATTGAAACGGATATTGATATATATATATATATATATATATATATATATATATATATATATATATATATATATATATATATATATATATATATATATATATATATATATATATATATATATATATCATAATAACAGTAACTTGATCCGAATGGTCGTATCATGTCGAGTTGACAGGCGCGGATCATCAGATCTAACGAGACGCGAAGCGTCGAGTTTGATCTGATGATCAGTGCCTGTCAACGAGATGTGATACGGCTCTCCGGATCAAGTTACTGTTATAATGATAAATTTATTATATACCCCCTTAAAACTAGCTAAATATAGCAGAATAAAACTTTAGAGATCAATTGTACAATATTTATCTATTAAACAAAGCATAATAACAAGGGACTTTTGAATGTGCAAGAAAAATAACGTCATATTTCTGCGTACTACGTCATCAGTTTCAGAGAGTGGTGATATGGATTCAGAAAACAACATGTTGGTGATCCGGAAAATCGGATCAAGACATCACGTGATAGCGTAAATTCAACAGTAAAATTGGGTGATACACATTAGGTATATAATAATATTTGATAAACATCAATCGGCCAGGTAAACACAAGCAAAAGAAAAAAGAAATAAATCACAATACCTGGTATTTTCAATTGTTTATTTATAAAATAAATGTACTCTTTTGAAAACTTGTTTATAAACTTAAAACTACCGGTAATTCATTCATAAATCCCCAAATGATTATTCGCATCGTTTAAGTTATTGAAGAATGGTTACCGTAGCATAATTTTAATTCATGGTCATTTAATAAACTGTTAAGCTTTATTTGAGGGTTGCACGGAATACATTTTTTTCGGCGCGGTTCTAGTAAACATGAGGTTTTTCAATTAAAAATCTTATATCTAACTGCAATGATTATTTTTAAGAAGTGCTTATGCAAATGCAAAGAAAGCTCTACACTGAACCATCCCAAACTACTTCCGGTTCCAGTTGACCTTCATTATTTAATGGTTTCATGTCGCGTTCCGCTAAAATGTCTGACTCCACGTGACTAGCAGACGACTCTCTCGCCTCAGGTTCCTTGTAATCAGGATTGACAACTCTGTCAACATTATAAGTGGTTCTATCCTCACACACAAAGGGAAGATGCAGACCGTCCGGACCAGTAAAGTATCGATAGTCTTTCTCCGGAAACCATTTCCATTCACTTCCGTTGTATGTCAGAACGAGGCCGACTGTGTTGTCCAAGACGGCTGACGCTGCTTCCGGGACCCAGTTCATGTAAGTGACCGGACTTCCGTCACTGTATATCGTCCGATTCTCGTCATCAAACGAAAGAACGTTGATCCGGATGTTGAAAATCCCCTGTAGGTCCGACTCTAGAATGTTTAAAAGAAATAAAAAGACCTTAAATCTGAATAAAATCTTAAATTGAATTATTTTTTGTTGTTGTAATTTTAACGATAAAAAATAAGATATTAATCATGGCGTAGATTCAAATCAACCTGTACGTGAACATGTATTTTTCTAAGGCCGAGGGATCTAAGTTGAGCTCAATTTTGATCTCAGTCTTACTTTTTCACAATATATTCCTTTGAAAAGTTAGTCTGGGCCCAAAATTGAGCTCATCTATGTTTAATGGCCCTTCAACCAGAACTGAAATACCTGGGTGGACTCTGCTGATTTTGAGAAAGTCCCCGTAATCGTCACCATACCAGACAAACATTTCACTTCCGGGGTCGATATCTCTGGTTGTCATGTAGAAAATGAGACCTGCGCACGATACTGCTATCAGGTTTTCCTGTTCAATGTTTCCGGCGCAGTTTATCCAACGTAACCAGTTACTATTAGCCGGACTTCCGGCGTCAATGACGTACACTCCTTCAGATCCAATTTTCTCCATCTATAAAATTAATGTTATAGATAAAAAGATATTTAACACTATGTAGTACAATTTTCTGTCTTCCGTGGACTTTAGGTGAGGCGTGGCATTCTCCGCACAACGATATTAGGGTCTCTTAAATGGCGCGTAGATTCTCCATGGTTAAGAAATTAATAACATCAGGAACTGTAAAATGTTGTTGACAATTTTGAGACGACTTTAGCCCCATCTCTTTGCCGTATGAGACGCTGGATATTTGCAACACTCCTTGACATTCGCCCGAATTTTTATTTCATGTATACATATTCCAACAGTGAATCTAATTTCCAATGTTAACATTAAGTTGCACAAACGTAATAAAATGAAAAATGATTGAAAAATCTCGAGAGGGACGTTAAACAGCAAAAAAGAAATCAGTCCTAAAATTAATAGTATAATAATCAAATTATTAAATATTCTTTTGATAACAAATGTTATATTATGTAAAGCAAAATAATGTTTTTTGTTATACGTTGAATAAATTATTGATCCCGTTTGTGTATTTCTAATTAAAACAGTTCCTAGAACTCTGACTTTACAGCTGACCTTTGACCTCTCACCTGCCATGAGTATAGGACGTCGTCTTTGTGGTTGGTGTGGATGAGCCCCTCGTAACTTCCAATGATTGTGTGTTTCGGTATAAACTTCTCTGCGAACCCCCCGAACCCGGCTCCAGGGATAGTAGATAGTTTGATACTGAATCCTTCCGGGGTCGTGTGGTTGGCCCGGTCTTCCGGGTGAGAATCGAGTGGGATCTAGAAACGGGAACAGAAAAACATAACCATATAACATACCGTATATACTCGCCTATAAGTCGGATTTTTGGGAGTTAAAATTTGGTCCAAAACTCTATGTCCGACTTATAGGCGAGATATAAATATATTGGTATTTTAGAAGTATTATTTCTAACATAAGCTTAAAAAATACAACCGACTTATAGGCGGACCGACTTATAGGCGAGTATATACGGTAAACGTATTATATATAACACAGAAATATTACAGAACCAAAAAATAACCGTCCATGTATTATACATAACACGGCAAAGTGATTGAACATTAAGATATAATAGTCATGAGATTGTATTAACATAGAAATATTGATGTATAAAAGTATGCTTTGTTTGTAGTAGGATGTTGACGGTCGGCCCGTTTGGGCTAGCGTAGATGCTTTAAATTGTTTTTAATTAGATCGGATTCGTCGAACAGGAAGTAACATGTCTAGAATCTGACTTCACATGACGTCGTCTATAAGGTTGTATTATCAAAACAAAGTCTGAACATTGCTGACTTTAATGAATAAGGTTTTATTTACTATTTTTCTGCAATACAGCTATTTAATTAATGAGGATTGGGTGCGGCACCCATTTTCACTATTTTAATCTCCTTGAAAAGAAGAGCTCCATTTAAAGATATACAAAAATGATCAAATTTTAAAACTAAAATATATTAATTTTTCTTTGCCAAATGATAGTTGTCAGGATTTTATACCGTATCTAAAAAAAGAAGATAAATCTGGTGGTTAATTTGTGGTTAATTTGTTGACCCCCTCACTGCCCTCAGCCTCCTCAAGGCGAGTTTTTTTTTATAATTGGCTGAACTTTTGTTGTTATTCTCGTAGCTATACGAAGCGATGCGTTGTGCGTCAAAATTACAACGTTAAATGAATTGAGCAGCAAACATTTATATAACCGTACATCAATCAAATATAAACAGACATGTGACGGAACAAGAAATCAGAAAGGAAATATCATAACACATTCATATGACGGAACATAAGAAGATACATGAATTTTCGTTTGTTTAAAAATAATTTTTTTAATGTATTCCTAGAGAATATTGTATTCGGATACCTTCAATTTGATTCCGACAAAGCAAATATTTTCTAAAATTCGGTTTTAAAAACGATTTAGGTAGTTGGCATTTACCTCGGCGTTAGAAATAATGGTGTAGGATTTGGATTTTTCTCTGTATTTCTTATAGTCCTCGCAAACTGAAACAACGAAGAAGCCATGATTAAACATCCGACAATTTGATTCGTTGAAAGAACATGTCACATGCACAATTTGATTTGTTAATAAAATGATTAAACGCACATGTACAAATTCGATATGATTGTTTAATTTGGCGTTTTGAGAATGAATTTGGGTAATTGATCTGCCCCCCCCTTCCCTAACAATAAATAAAGAAAATGGATTTCTATAATAGAATACTGTAGATCATTTATGCTTATTTTAATCAATTAAGAATTTGTAAACAGGGAGTTGGCAAAATTTTGAACATTTTTTTTTATTAAGGCCTATGCTTTTACGGATCCGGTTTTAATTTTACATATCAAAATTTTTATTATCATTTGCCTATTAAAATAAAATATTTTTGAGTGATTGAAAATAATTTAGCAAGTATATATCTGTTTATTATAGTGAAATTGTGCATACAAAGCATTTAATATACATTATTTCTGGTACATACACAGACACAAGACACTTAATTGCTCTATCATTAGATTTGTTTTAAGCCTATACATGTAGCATCTATTTAATTTTTACTTTTTAAAAAAATTTGCAATGAATAATTGAAAAAAATGATATTCCAAAATGGGGGTTTACCTCTTCAAATAACTGTTTTGTAAATATTTTCTGGTCAACCATAAAAAAGTATGTGTTTTTGATAACTTTAGATATAGTTCTAAATAATTTTAAACAAAAAATGGCATCTAAACAGTTTAGATTTTGAGAATTATAAAAATAAAGATATAATTTGAGATATTGTTTTTTTTCTGAAAGACATGGACAGATTCAACATCATTTAGTTAAAGCTTTGCAAAAAAGATTTCAAATATTCTCTTGGCAAATGAGTATCTTTGATTTTCATTAGTTTTATCATATATTTGATGTGATTTGGTGAATAAATGAATAAAATATGATACCACACTTCTTTATGTTCATTTTTGGCTGAGTTTTTAGAGGTATGTACTTTGAGACATGCTGTAGGAAAATTAACCCGCAAAGATATGTCTTTTATATGTGTGTAGTTAGTTTAAGACTTAAACTAAAGGAATTCAAATTAAATAAAATCAGTTTAACAGAAAATTCTAAAAGTACGGACCTACCTTAATTATGACATTGGAATACTTTATTCAAAAGACTTTCAACAACCATCCCTTATAAAGAACGTTTACAAATAAATGATGCGAAGAAGGCCAGATACGACCGGAAGTACATACTTACACGCGGCTGCGTCTTTGTTGGTGTTAATCAGTTCTTCCAGAGATCGTTGTAGAGTCTGAAACAAGAGCGATAACCCAGGAATAAAAATCTATGATTTCTAAACCTAGTATGAAACAACATCTATCGTGTAACACTCTAGAACTTAAAAAATGATATTTTTAATTCAATAATATCAGAAATTTTTGCAATATCAAGAAAAGCCGGTAATTCGAATAAGTAGTTTACTGACATTTTATAACTTCTGATTTGTTCAAAACATTGCCTTTCAATAATTATGATGATCAAACGTGTTGAAAATAACAATAAATATAAAAGGAAGAAAAATTAAATAAATCAAAGTTTTTTTTCCTATATGAAGTTATTTGGAATGATATTCCCGTCTTTTGCAATAAATGATGAATAAATGTCGGGGTAATTAGTAAGCATTTGTTAATAAGCGTCAAGAAACATATTTGATTCATAACTAAATTGGTGCAATTATTTAGTACTAAAAGTAGAATGAACGAAATTGAGGAAACTCATTTTTTTTCTTAATGTTGTTGATATTTCTTTTTTTCTGACATTAATATTTTGTTTACTCACGCACAAACAGAGCCGGCGTTTGAATTTGAATGCCATCTTTGAAGTGCTATATTCACCTCGCCTTTCTGGCTCGGTGAATATTGTACTGCTCAGATGGCTAAATCATTGTATTGACCTAAAAATCAGCAATAATTGTAAAATATTATAAGATAAACAAATTTAAAAAGTTAACTAAATCAATTTGATCAGATGTTTAATCATTATTAGGTAAAAGTATAATAAATTTAACGTATTATAAGGTTAACGTATTATAAATTTAACGTTGTTGGCATCCTTCTGTCTCGGGAGACAATGGAGATCGTGCCAAGGATCAGGATCAGTCTGTGGTTGAGTGACAGCGCCGATTGTGGCTGTAAAGTCCGATTCTGGAGCGGCATGCTTTGTTGCAGTTCGCACAGATGTATTGCTCGCTTGGCTGTACCGGGACTGAAGTTACTCTTTGTCGTCTGCGCTGTCTTCTCTCACTCCTCTGTTCCTCCCTCCTCTTTTCACTGAGTTGGAGGCCTGCCTTGACAGCATGCCTCCATCGATTTCAGTCAGCAGCCACGTGCACTGCTTCCCAACACGCCTGGTCGATATCTCCGGCCCTCATGTCACGTTTTAGGACATCCTTGTAGCGAAGAACAAGCCTTCCTGTAGGTCTTCATCCAGTTTCCAGCTCTCCGTACAACACGTCCTTCGGTATACGGCCGTTGTCTATACAGCTTACGTGGCCAAGCCATCTGAAGCGCCTCTGGCTTAGCAAGGCAAACAAACTGGGTAACCCTGACTGTCTCATTACGTCCTTGTTGGTGACATGATCCTGCCAGCTGATGACTAAAATTCTTCTGAAGCAACGCATGTGGAAGGTGTTGAGTTGACGCTCTTTGCGAGAGTACAGGGTCCAGGCTTCGCAGGCCTTGTATACCACTATCCTGGTGTTTGTTGTCAGTATGGCGTTGTCCCATACTCGTTTTCCCAGCGGAGCCATTACTGATGCTGCTTTCCCAATGCGCTTATTAAGCTCTGTATCCAAGGACAGGTTACTTGATATGGTGGACCCAAGGTAGGTGAATAAATCCACAACTTAAAGGAAATGTTCGTCGATGGAGATTTTGGGAGTGCAGCAGACATCCTGGCCCATAATGTTGGTCTTTTTGATGCTGATGGTGAGAGCAAACTCACCGCATGCATTGGAAAAGCGGTCGATGTGTCGTTGTAGTGCCTGCTCTGTGTGTACAGTCAAGGCGGCATCATCAGCAAAGAGCATCTCTCTGATCAGGGCCTTGCGTTCTTTGGTTTTTGCTCGGAGACGCACAAGGTTGAAGAGGCTTCCGTCACTTCTGGTGTGAAGATACACGCCGTCTTCTGATTGATCAAATGCGTATGACAGCAGCAGGGAAAAGAATATGCCAAAAAGCATTGGGGCTAGTACGCATCCTTGTTTTACGCCGCTTTTGATGGGAGAGGGGTCTGAGGATGAACCATCATATTTGACGGTGCCTTGCATGTCTTCATGAAAAGACGAGATTATCCTCAAGAGCTTTGGAGGGCATCCAATCGTCTGTAGCAGGGTAAAGAGACCTCGCCTACTGACCAGGTCAAATGCCTTGGATAGGTCAATAAAGGCAATGTACAATGGGCGTCTCTGTTCTCGACACTTTTCTTGTAATTGGCGTAATGAGAAAACCATGTCGATTGTTGACCTTTCTGATCTGAAACCGCACTGCGCCTCCGGGTAGACTCGCTCTGCTAGTTTCTGCTATTAGTTAAACACTACCCGGCGAATGCCTTCCAAACAATGCTGAGTAGGGATATTCCACGAAAGTTGTTGCAATCGCTGCAACAGCTGTAACACTGACGACATTTTCTCTTGAGTAAAGCTCTTGATAGAGTTGGGCCCATCTCTCCATCTACTTTCCTCTGTCAGTGATGATGTCACCAGAGACTGTTTTCAGCGGCGCTGTCTTGATGATACTCGGATCAAAAAATTTCTTCATGTCTTCGTACATGGCGCGAATGTTACCACAGTCAGGGGAGTGCTGAATACCTTTACAGAGATTCAGCCAGTAGTCGTTTGCGCTGCCACGAGCTATCCGTTGGATGTCATTTCTGGCCTTTCTGAGTTCAGCAAGTGTCTTCTCTGAAGGTCCACGTTTGTAGTTGAGCAGGGCGTTTCTTTTAGCTGTGATTGTTGGTTCGAGTTCTGTAATTCCTGCTTCATACCAGTCTGGATTTTGTCTCACTCTCTTGCCAAATGTGTCCATCGCTGAAGTGTAAATGGCGTCACGAATGCAGCTCCACCTCTCATCAGTACTGCTGGTGGGGCAGTTACGAAAGGTCTCTTTTTAGAGTCAACAAAGCGTGCGCAAACATCTGACATTGCTGTCCTTACTGTGTTAATTCGTGGACGTCCTTTCTGTTTGGAGCGATGAATCCTTTTTGGCTGGAGTCTCACCTTACTGCCAGCAAGTGAGTGGTCGGTATCGCAGTCCGCATGTGGTAGCTGCGGGTTGTCAGGACACAGTTCATTGAGCGTCTTCTGGTGATCACAAGGTCCAGTTGGTGCCAATGGTTTGATATAGGATGACGGCATGAAACTCTGTGTTGGGGCTTTGTGGCAAAGAATGTTTTGGTTATGCAAAGGTTGTGGTAGGAGCATATCTCAAGAAGTCGCTGACCGTTATCATTTATATCATATCAGTTTCCCGACGCCAAAGTGGCCGATGTTGCGAGGCCAAGCTTTTTGGTCAGTTCCCACTCTTGCGTTAAAATCCCCAAGCAGATATACTTGTTCTGCGGATGTGATCTCTCTGTTGGTAGTCTCAAACACCTCATAGAACGTATCCTTTGTCTCCACTGTGGATCTGAGTGTGGGAGTATAGATGCTAAGGATGTTGACATGAGGTGGAGAGGCGAAGAGATAGGATTCTAGGTGTACCCTTTTGAGGCGGTTCCACTGATGACAGTAGAGAGTTTCTCACTGCAAATCCTACACCGTGTATACGTGGTTCCTCTGGTTCGTTTCCTTGCCAGAAGAATGTATAATCCTCCTCACTTAGGCTACCGTTTGATGGGAATCTGGTTTCCTGTAAAGCAGCAATGTCAATGTTAAGCCTTCTCAGCTCTCGGTTGATAATGACCGTTTTCCTGGAGTCATCAATCTGTTGGAGATCTTCAGATAGGCCAGGACATATTGTCCTGACATTCAAGCTTGCCAGTCGTAAGATGGACGATTTCGTTTTGCTGTATTTGTTGGGTTACTAGGTTTCAGTCTGCTTTCCATGTTTGGCTAATATTTATCTCCAGGCACCCTCTGGGGCAACAGGCGTTGGCGGACCGACACCTTGTTGGCTGGGGGCTGCCCAGCTTGAGGCGGGCGGTAGTCCGACGATAGGACTCCGATGGTCTTTCCCACCGTCCAAGTTGTCCCGTGGCGTCCTTCCTGCACGCCAATTTGGAAGGGCTTATGACCCGTAAACTGACAGCTTCAGGTTTTGTATCCAAACTTTGCATTGGGGCTGGAGTGTCCTCTCCAGGGCACGAAGCCTGGGCCAACAGTAAGAAAATCCTAGGTGGCCCAGTCGTCAGGATCCTTCTCTCGGCCTTACTGATGGGATCCAAAGGAATGCAGAGCATGACGTTTGGCGCCAGCTTTGATGCAGGTGATGCCGGAACGGTGTTTCTGGTAGCACTGCTCCGCCTATGGGTCCCCACTCTGGATTTAAGGTTTTCTCCTTTTCCACTTGGCCGTTTGGTCACAAGGGGACTTACTCCGCCCTTGCCCTTGGCTGTCTTGTGCAGCTCATCCGTCCAATGGTGCAGTGGAGGCACCATTCAATAACCTTGGGGGGTGCAATTTTCCCATTGGTAGGGGCCAGGATTGCAGACACCAGGGCGTATCTTCTCGCCGGTGGGCCATGCTTGCTGTGAATTTAGGGGCCTGGTCTCCTCCAAGACCCTGTGGTTCTGCTAAAATGGCTGTGTGTTGCGTACAGTGTGTGTGCCTGTCTGTGTCTGTGCTTGTCACTCTCGCTTTCAGCTCCATCCCTGGCTAGCAGTTTACTGTGAAGCAGGGAGCAATTTCTGTACGTCGCTCTTGCCAGGTATAGCCTCTCCACGGTTAGACCTATGTGGCGAAGATATGGGATCCTTCTCGAAGTAGCAGATGGGAATTGGGTACCTTACGGTCCGAAGCGGAAACTTAACGTACTATAGGGTTAACGTGTTAAGGTTTACGTTTTAAAAAATTAACTATTCATGGTAAACCTATTATAAGGTTAATGTATTATACGGTTAACGTTTTATAAGGTTATAAAATTTATGAATTTGATCAGATACTTAATCATTATTAGGTGAAGGTATCATAAGGTTAATATTTTATACGGTTAACGTTTTATAAGGTTGACGTAATACAAGGTAAAAGTTTTATTACATAGTTTTACGAATAATGTGCAATTAGGCTTACAGTTTACATAAATTTAAAAACTAAAATATCTGTATTATAAGGTTAGCGTTTTATTAGGAAAACGTATTATAAAAATAACGTATTGTAATATCAACGTGTTATAAGGTTGGCGTATTTTAAGTTTAACAAATTACAATGTTGGCGTATTATAAGGATAGCATATTATGACATAGTTATAATAATAACGTGTTATTAAGTTAACGTATAACAAGGTAACGTATTATTACAAAGTTATAAGAAATACATGTTATTAAGTTTACGTTTTACATAATTTTAATACTTACACTTCTATCCTGTTGGAGACCGAAGAAATTCATATCTGAAAAAAATATACATTTATATGAATACTATATTCCATCTTGTACAGGCCTGGATACCATCGGTACAACTCAAACAGAACCATCAAAATGGCCAGGTGAAAACAAACTTGGAACTATCGTACAAAAAATTGCTGCCAAATATACTAGAAAACTCAGGAGCGCCTCCGTACCTAGGAAAGGCTCACAAAACGAGGCTAGTCAAAAGAAACTCGACACTTTTATCCGAGATTTGAAAAAAATAAAAAGAAAAATGAAGATGACTCTGCTGCAAAATAATGTGAATTAACAATTTCCACGATCACATGAATAAAAACTCTTTATCATTCCTCTCCTTAAATGTGAGAGGTCTAAATACCTATAAAAAAGAGAGTAACGCTTTTTGAGTGGTTGAAAGATTCAGATTTCGATATAATTATCTTACAAGAAACCCATTTTGATAAAGAACATGAATTTTTATACAATTCTAGATGGTTTGGAGACAAACTTAATTGTTTTTCCGACTCTGTTAACAGTAGGGGTGTTTCGCTTCTTTTTAAGCAAAACCTTTCTGTTGAAATATTAAATTATCAACAGTCTCTTGATGGAAGAAGATTATTAGTTAACTTAAAATATAATGAAAAAAATATTACAATTGTGAATGTCTATGCACCCAACGCTGAACACTCTAGAATTGCTTTTTTAAAAAGATTATCATTTTGGGTTAGTCAACATGCTATGAATGTAGAAGGGCTTGTTGTCTGTGGTGACTTTAATTTTCAATTAGACTATAATCAAAAGGATAAAAGTGCTAAGAATTTAAGAATTTTTTTGAAATACTTTGATCTAAATGATTGCTGGCTTTCCAGTGGAAAAACAATAATAAATGGTTTAACGTGGTGTGATGGAGAGAACATTCCTAAAAGTAGAATAGATTATGTTTTTATGCATGATAATATGTTTTTCCCACTTTGTGATATTACTGTACGTAGAGCACCCAGTGTTGAAGGGACACGTATGAGCGAACATTTAGGATTAGGTTTTGATCTCAATACTTCTGAAATTTTACGAGGAAGTGGTTATTGGAAGCTAAATAACTCATTACTAGACGACGACAATTTTTGAAAAACTAAGAAAACATATAAATGATAAAAAAGAAGAATTAAAGCAATTGAACGATCCTAAAGTTAGATGGGAACGAATGAAAATATCAATAAAAGACTTCTGCATATCTTTTTCAAAAAATAAAGCTAATAATAAAAAAAAGCGAATCAATTTTATAGAAACCCAATTAAAACTAATCGATTTAAAACATTATACTGAAATAAATATGAGATACAAACGACAGCTTGAAGAAGAAAGAGATAATTATTATGCCCAGAAATGTAATGGAGCTTATGTACGATCTAGAGCTTTGTGAATAGAAAAAGGGGAGAAAAGTAATTCTTATTTTTTAAGTCTCGAAAAAAAGTAGCAAATAAATAATACAATAACTAAAATAAAGGATGAAAATGAGACTGTCGTTTATGACAATGATAATATTATGAAAAGCTTGTTTACTTTTTATAGCTCATTGTACAGTAGTAAAAATATTTCTGATAATGAAGTTGAAAACTATTTTAAGAATGTTAACTGCGAAAAGGTCACAAAGGTCGAGAAAGAGTTATGCGACATGTTACCTACAGAATTAGAATGTTAAGAAGCTGTTCTTAAAATGAAAAATAACAAATCCCCTGGACAAGATGGCCTAACGGTAGAATTCTATAAAAGATTTTGGCATGATATAAAGGAAATATTTTTTCCCTCTTTACTTAAAAGTATTGATGATGGTATTTTGCCATATTCGCAAGGAAACGCTGTGATATTCCTGATATATAAAAAAGGAGAGAAAGAAAATCTAAAGAATTATAGACCAATTAGTCTTACAAACGTTGATTATAAAATTTTTGCTCACGTTTTAGCTAATCGTTTGCAAAAAATTGCTCTTAGAATAATTAGTAGTGAACAGAGTGCTTATATTAAAGGTAGATACATTAGAGAGAACGCAAGAATAATATTAGACATATTTGAATATTGTACAAATAATGATATTGATGGTATTTTGCTCTTTCTCGATTTAAAAAAAAAACTTTTGATTCTGTTGAATATAACTTCATGTACAAAACTCTAGAAAAATTTAATTTTGGAGAAAACTTTATCATGATGATAAAGACATTATACTTCAAACCAACTTTCAAAAATAAAAATAATGGCTGGATGTCAAAATCATATACATATATAATACGTGGAGTTAGCAAAGTCGCAGGCCCGAAATTGAATTTGGACAAAACAGAATGTTTATTAACAGGAAAATTTATTGAAAGGTATTTAAATGAAAATCATATTTTTGGTGTAAAAATTGCTAAAAATCATGTAAAATCATTAGGTATATATCTCGGTCATGATAAGGATTTTTGTTATGATATGAACTGGACAAATAAATTGGAGAAACTTGAAAGAATACCGAGTGTTTGGAGAAGGCGAAACTTAACAATCTTCGGAAAATGTACTATAATTAATACACTAGCATTATCTAAATTGGTATATAATGCTTTTATTTTGTCAAATCCCAAAAAAGAATTCTTTAAAAAAGTATCAAAACTTGTATTTAATTTTATATGGAAGAAAAAAGATAGAATAAAAAGAAATACGCTAATTGGTAAAATTGACCAAGGTGGAATAGGTATTGTTGATACAGAGAGTTAATCTACTGCAGTAAAAGCCTCTTGGATAAAACGATTATTAAATAAAGAAAATATAATATGTAAGATGTTGAACAATATTCTTAATCTTAAAAACCTATCAGTTAATGATATTGTTAAAACAAGTGTATATAACTTTGAAAATACTGCTTTTTTTAAGATGATAAGAATACCACTTTTTATGGTGAGGTCATTTCTGCTTTTAATAAATGTAAAAAAGTTAAACAAATTTGTACTTTAAAGAGATAACAATTTTTATCGGAATTCATTTGGAACAATAATTTGTTTCAGTATGATTCTAAACCTCTTTGTTTTGAAAACTGGATAAAAAGTAATATTCTATATATCAAAGATCTTTTTGATAAGGATGGAAACCTTTTTAATATTGAACACTCTTACAACATACTTTTTATGAATAATAATTTAAATGTGGGTCAATTACTGCTGCAGTAAATCGGTTTTGTAATTATTATTTTTGAAAATAAATATTCATATATGATTATATCAATTGTATTCTTATATAAATATAAAAAATGCAAATTACTTTTTAATGAATGTTTACAAACTTTGATTGAAATAATTTAGTATCATAAAAACCAAGAATAGATCTAAAATAACAACACAAACTTTAGTTTTTTTTTTTTACAATTTGAAAACTGGAGGTTGACAGGTTAAAAAGACAGTTTTTTTTTTTTATAATTCATTGTATATTTATTTAGTTATATTACAAGTATATATACATGTACATGTACATTGAATGCCTAAAAATAATTTCCATTCTCTTTTTTGTTGATAACAGTTAGATGTATACATCTCCATTTGACAATCCAAACCTATGACGACAACAGGTCAACAGAATTACTAAATTTTAATACCTGTCTAACCTGTCAACCCGTCGACCTGTCTTCGACCTGTCTACCTGTCGACCTGTCAACCCGTCGACCTGTCTACATACCTGTCAACCTGTCAACCCGTCGAAATGAAAACATTTGACAATCCAAACCTTAAGTATATGTATGAAAAAAATGTAGTAACTGAATTCAATTATAAATTGGTTGACTGAATTGCATATTGCAAAAATATATATAATAATCTAAATGTAAGTAAATGGAACAAGGATGTAGAACCTTATTGTGAATATTGTATGGTTGTTGAAGACAATGAACATCTCTTGTACAAGTGTAAACTCTGTAAAAATATATGGAAAAAAATTAGTTTATTTTTGGGTTTTGATGTCACATGGAAAATACTTGTACTAGGTTTTTATAACGAAATCAATTGAAAAACAACGAGATTGAACAATTTATTGTCATTTATATGTTTTAACATCTATAAAATTATAAAATGAAATGTAGATTTGAAAAAGAAAATATGTATACAGAAATTCTTCGAAATAAGATAAAAAATTGTCTCTGTCTACAAAACGCAATTCTTAGGAAGGCACATGTAATTAATGATAATTTATATCTAGAGATAGGCAATTTTTTGTGATTTTGAGGTTCAAATAGATATGCAATGTGTGTATTAAGTTTTTGTGTACAATGAATTCTTTATGTACCATATTTTAATAAAAGAGAAAAAAAATATATTCCATCTTGTAACATGTAAATTTGAAAATGACGGTTCAATTTAAAATGGCAAGATCCATTAGGAATCTCTGAAAGCATAGGTAAGATCAGGTGATTTCAACGAGAAAAAACAGCTTGTCGACTGAATGAAAACCTTTACAATTCTTATTGAAGAAAATAGAAAAAAAACGTTAACAACTCTGATTGATAATAGTACAAACATACATGATTCATTAGATAAATGATTTTCCCCCATGGTTTCTTTCTTATAAAGATTGTACTCAAGGTAGCGCTCAAAATCTGGCACAACTCCTTCGAAAGCAACAAAATAAATTCTCAAAGTCCAATAATAAATTACCGTTTACCTAATTTCTATATATAACCTCACCTTCAATGAACTGAGTTAATGCCCTTTCTTTTTCTGCTGATTCCAGGGTGACTAGCCCCGCCCCCTGGCGCGAACATTCATGCACTGTGTCGTACATTCCTACTGGCTGAACTTGGAAAGAAAAGCACCAGTTCTGCACCTGCGCAAAGCCATCTCGACAAAATCCCAAAGGTTTATCTAGACAATGAATTAAAAATATATTTTAAAGTTTAAACAGTATTTTCATCTTAATGCTAATTATTCACGGGACTTTTTCTCTTTTAATATGATATTGTTATTTATCTGTCGATGTATTCATAACTCTTATAACGTGTTCAACTCAGTTATTTTCCTCTTAAATTACAGTGCACATCGAAATCAATATGTGTCGATCTGGTTTATGGCTTAAGTTTCACAATTATTTAAAATAAAAATACATATACATAGAAAATGCACGCCGGGAAACATTTTACTGGAATGGCCGTATTTTCAGAAACATTAGACGATCCTTTACAAGCCTAGTCCGGGCAAACAAAGATGCTACACGTTCAGAACGTGTTGCTAAAATTCGAAAATTTATTCAATAAGAACTTTTATTATATTCCAGGATGACCCAAGATTGTTTAATCTATCATTGCTTGGAATTCCAAGTGTGAATTTTGATCGTGAAATGTGCATGCCGTACGTGTAGAAGCAAAGGGGGAATCAACATACCAAATTTTTAAATATCAGAAAAAGTCGTAGAATCTTGATTAAAATTGATTTAAAATTTATTTAATATTACCTGTAAACACAATAAAAACTAAAAGTGGTAATAGCAACATTGTCCCATTTCAAATCGCTAAGTCAAATGAATGATATGGAGATAATAAATAGTATTCAAGATCAAACGTCCATAAAAAATACAAAATAGGAACTGAGCAAACACGGGCCTTCAAAATATCAGAGGTGGATCAGGTGTCATGGAAGTGTAAGCATCCCCTGCTCACCGGTCATCTGTGCTCCTTGTAATGATCGGAAAATGGAAAAATCAGTCAATAATTCAGTGTATAAATAATTGACTAACAATAAGTGTGAAAAATGTCAATCAGCATTTGACTCAAAGATAAATTGTATTTGCTTACAATGTCATTGTATCGATCCTAAGTCTGTCTTATCATCATAAATCATAAAAACAGTTATTCTTTAAGAATGTGAGTGAAATTTGGATCTGTCAAATTGTAGTGGAATTTTTTCCTCATTTGAAAACTTTACATAACTTTATTACTGATAGCACAACACATCTTGTTAAAATAAAATGTCACATATAAAATTCGAAAAGCGATAGAGAGGAAGAGAAGAGAAAGATGCTTTCAAATTCTATTTACCCAGTGGAATCTCGCTTTTGATCGTAGATTTCTTTCTATTATTATATGCTCTATGACTATGAAAACATGCCGTGGAGGATGACAGACACAGTTGCATATAGATCTAAAGATGTAAACAAAACATATTGATATAAAGATATATATATTTTTTTTCAAAATATTACGATATATTCAAAACTTATTCAGATTTTAGAAATGCAAAAATCGCATTGTGGAGCAACATAGATTTGTTGGACCTGAAGGTGAAAATGTTGCCCGAGGCCGCAGGCCAAGGGCAACATTTTCACCTTCAGGTCCAACAAATCATATGTTGCCCGAATCCCAGTCTATAACTGTTTTGTTATACCCTTCACTGGTCAAAATTTATTAATTAGTTATAGAAAATTCACTAAATAATAAAATCTGTAGTATATATCTATTGTATCACAAAAATTTCAAAACATCTTGTTAAATGCTAGCAAAAATGATTAAAACAACCTAGAAATTCAAATTAATAATAAACTTTTGTTGGACTTTTTATTAGTAATAAATATATAGAATGATATTTATAAGGGTATAACAAACCAAATTATGGCTTAACAAATTGCCTTGTTGAAAAGAAATCAACTTGAGAAGATTGATAGTCCTTATTGAAAACGACAAAAACGATGACGTTTTAGAACGTCACGGAGCAGCAGATAACGTTGTAATTTTGTGATTTACTCAGGAAAATTCCTGAATAAACCCTAAAAATGTTGGAGGAATCAAGAAAATATTTCATAAGCGAGTAGTGCCTGTGTGTACAAAAAGTACAGGCAGTATTTGACTGACAGAGACTGTATCGGACGAGGATTATCTGTGAAGATACGGTTTAACTGTAAAATCTTAACAAAAACTTTAAAAAGTTGGAACGTCAAGGAAAGACATAGGCGCTTCAGAGCTGCCTATCCAGTGAAAGCAAAGTTAAGTAACAAAAGAAATTAAAACCTTAACAAAGGAAATTATTCAACGAGAGCAATTCTTAAAAAAATAAATGTCAAGTATTAGAAAAAGAATTTAAGGAAGGGACATTGGATTATACTTTATGAAATGTATAGGGATAGTATTTTTTTAAAAATTCTTGACGCTATGTTTTGACGTTACATTACCGTTAAGTGTGCTCCGCCGGTACAAAACATGTTGATTTTAAATTGAATTTAATTGATTTCTGTTAAATCGAATGGAATAAAACTTCAAACATCAACAAAACAAATATTTATACATATCATAATGTGCTTATTTTAAATTTCTGGTGAGTAGTATAACGAAGATTGACATCGTCCACGAACTTTTCGAACAACCCTCGTATATGGGCAGCGGAAAGGGCAAAAATTAACATAATGAGAAAACAAACAAGTATCTTAATTTCAATGAGCATAAAAACTTAACAAATGATATACAATGCATAATTGTTTTGTTTCAGTTAACAAAATGCCTCAAAGGTTAATAATTTATTCAGAATTCAAGGGTCTGGAGCAAACTTCATACATTCGCAAGTGAGTTAAGGCTACATATGGAGTTTTCTATGCAAAATAATTAAATAAGGCCCATTTTTGCTATACATACCGCAAAGAAAATGTTAAGATTTGTTTTCTAATACATTCTTGGTACCCACGATATGCTACTGCCAGTACACATTATGACGTCATATTATGACGTCATCGACCTTTACTACACAAGTTTATAAGAAACATCAACAAAATCGCTTCGGCGCAAGGGCATACCTTATTTTATTTTACAGAAACAAGGTATAAAGAAAAGCAGAATATTCCAAAGATTTAAGATATTACTGCACAAATGTCGACACTGCAATTGTTTAGTTACTATTTTAACAGTTTTAAGTTGAAACAGGATAAAAATGTACAGTCCAGTGTAAGTTTAGTAAAATGTTTATCGATCGATGAAGAGGATAGGATTTGTGCAGCAATTTTATTAATTTTAAGAATATTTTCTTTAATATTATACTTTATCTATTTCAAATTAAATAGGATATGCCCTTGAGCCGACGTCGTTTTGTTGATGTGTTTTATTACCTTAAATGGGAAAGAACGATGACGTCATAATATGACGTCATAATGTGCACTTGCAATAATATACTGTGGGTGCTAAGTATGCATAAGAAAATCAATTTAAACTTTCTCTGTACATAAAATATACAATTTATGCATTTTTATTAGCTTATTTGCATAGAAAACCCATATACAACCTTAACTCACTTGCGTTCTCTTGTGAGACATCCTGTGAAAGCTACACAAAATAAAAATACAAAATAATTCATGTAGGTATAGGTTTACAACTTCAGGTAATATTAATCAAAAAATTCCAAGAAACTTATGTAGATTCATCGGTAAACACTATTAATTCTGACATTCAAAACTTATATTTGAGATTCTACTGTAAATTCTTATACACTATCAGCAACACATTATCAACTTTTCCTACTCAAATATCATACAAAATTTCGTAAAATTTAACTTTAAACTGACTTTCTAACAGCTTGTGGATTTTAAATCTAAAAATAGCATCGCATGCGAGTTGCAAGTACAGCATAAACAAAAATACTTATGACATGCACAATAAAGTGATTGCATAGTAAAATACAAACAAAATAATCTAATATTCAGACAGTTTCAATTATAAACTTACATGGTTGCTGCTATATATGACTAGAAGTTTAGTACATATCAAATGTGTGTGCATCAACCTCGTGCAGACTGCAGGAAATGCCGTTATACAAAAGAAAACCAAACTAAATAAAGACGGACATAAAATTTCCGGATTGATCGGGTGTGGTAACATTACAATAATCAACAAACCTTTTCGCAGGACAAATATTCATTAAAACAAAATCAACGACCACGTACGTAACAAACATATATAAATGCAAAACCAACGATCATCTTTGCAGTACAAACGTACATAAAAACACGACAAACGAAAAAAACTTAACAAACGTGCAAGCGGTAAATCTAGTCTTCCCGGCTCCCGACGGTCCCGGTTTTGTTTGTTTGTTGCTGTCTTCTTTTTTGCGATTTTTTTAATGTAATTTGTATGCTGAAAAATTCCCCTCACATTTTTTTTCGTATAGAACCTCGGATCCCCCTTTAATTTTTTCCTTTCTTGATGTTAATTTATCTAAAAAATTTCAATTTCAAATGAAAGAAAAGAATTTACATAATTCTTAAAATATTATAAGAACCTATTAAAATATAACTTTTCATTACAGTGACATATCATATGACAGGCACGTAACAACATTTCCCAATTTTAAGAGTAAGGTCAAGAAAGGGTTATGAAGTACATGTATTAAAAACTTGAACCTAACCCCCCTCCCCCCCCCCCCCCCCCCCCACACACACACACCCTCACTCACAAACACGAAATAGGATTTTCGAGTTTAAGCCATTTCATTTTAATTTCCTTTTTGTTTTTGCTTGTCAAGTTTTGAAAATCATTTTTTCAGCTAGATTGAATTTTTTTCTCTGGTTATACCTTCCTTTGAAAAACGATGCTACATTAATGTATAACAATGCGTACTTTCATTTTTTATGGTTTTACTAAAGTAAAATGCTAAATTTAGCTATTTTTTTAATGAAATTTTGATAAAATTTTATTTGAAATCAGATCATTTTGATGTTATGAATTTTTAAAGAATTTAAATGTTCATTTTTTTATTAACACCACTTATTTTCACTGAAATACTAATTCCATCTCTTTGAGAGGAAATATCTTCTCAATATCAATATATTAAATATCCTTAAAGATACATGGACACATATTTGAAGTTAATTTCATTTCATCTTGAAGTTATTG